TTGAGTGCCTAGCATGTTGTGAAATGTTATGGATTGGATTTCCTTTTTGGGTTTTAGGTGCTTTTTAATATGTTTTGATTCAGAGATACAACCACCACATGTCCTTTTTGGGTTTTAGGTACTTTTTAATATGTTTTGATTCAGAGATACAACAACCACATGTCTTCTGCTTCCTTGACGAGCCTTTACAGTATTCATCTACTGGAACACTGTTTAAGGTTTGGATTATAACAACCACAAACAAGGAAGCCAACTGTATTTAACTCTTTGAATTCTTTCTATCGTGTTTTCTGTCCTATTTTTCCAATTTTCAATCATCAGAAAAATCATAAATCATGCTATTATGATTAAGAATCTTCCTATGTTCTGCTGCTTTGATGATTTTTACTTTAATTAGAATTTTGATCATCATCCTCAAATTTCTTTCTGTGTTGCTGGCAAATAATCCACGAGGTTTTATTTTACAGGGAGGAACTTTATGGTTCCAGAACTTGACTGGATATCCACATGGTGGTTTGGGGCCAATCTTCCCTTTAATGATTGCCGGTTTACATTTCGCTAATGTTCAGGTAGAAGCTTTTGTATATTTTAAGGAGTGGTTCTAGCTTCGTGGTGGTAGATGCGTTTGTGGTGTTCAGGGAGATTTTCTAATGAGTATACATTAGCATGAGTAACTGGGTTTTCCTACTTCCTAATGCTATACTGTCAATATGGTCTTTTAGGTTTTTTAAGGTACTTAAAACTGGTGGATGTGGGTTATTGCCTAGTGTCATGCACCATGTCAATGACCCAAGGCTCCTTCACTTCTCCAATTTTAAAACCCGTTGCTTCGGTGTTGAACTTTTCCTTTTCCATTCGAATGAATGAAATAAAAGTTTTTAGATCTTCGAGTAATTTTTCCCGCGTTCGGTCAAACATTATACAAGTATAGATTAATACTCGATTGGAACGTTTCTAATCTGCTGTGCAATAATTTACCTAACTAGAGCATGTTTGGCCAAGCTTCAAAAAATATTTAGGGCGTGTTCGGTAGAAATTAAAATCGGATTAAAATTGAAAAACTAGCCGTTATGGTTGACTTTTATTAGACGAGTGAGACCCAATAACGGCTATATTTTCAATTTCAATTTGATTTTGAGTTGTACCAAACAAGCTCTTAAAGTACTTTTTTGGAAACTAAGNATAGGAACGTTTCTAATCTGCTGTGCAATAATTTACCTAACTAGAGCATGTTTGGCCAAGCTTCAAAAAATATTTAGGGCGTGTTCGGTAGAGATTAAAATCGGATTAAAATTGAAAAACTAGCCGTTATGGTTGACTTTTATTAGACGAGTGAGATCCAATAACGACTTTATTTTCAATTTTAATTTGATTTTGAGTTGTACCAAACAAGCTCTTAAAGTACTTTTTTGGAAACTAAGTACAGATTGACTTCTTAAAAAGCAAGTTCTTGAACTTTTTAAAAAGAAAATCCTACTTCTGAAAAACGTTAATTATGTTAGGGAAAAATGTTGCTTAGAAGTAACTTCTAATCTGAGCTAAGCATGCTCTAGATCTATGACTGAAAATCATTATTCTGATTACCAGAGTGCATGATCACTGCTCTGCATATTGACTCCGTACTGGAAGCCTTCTGAGTTTCCTCTTTCCTGTTATGAATTTCTCTAGGGTGTTCTTACCCAATATTTCATAGTCTGAGCTTACCAAACCTGTAGATTTTGTTACTGAAACTGCTGATCTGTGATCTAACATGTAGTTAATTTATTCTTTTCTGGCCTGTGTCCTTTGCATTAGAGCATTGAATCTTAGCTCTTGTTGGATTTGTTGATGCATGTATATTAAAGCTTTTCTTCTCAAAATTTTCAGATTTCTTTTCAAAAATCATCACTCCAAAGGTTGCCTGGCATCGTGGGAACACTAGCGAAGGTGGGTTCATAAAAATTATACATGTGGTTCCTCTCTCTCTCTCTCTCTATCTCCCCGCCCTGCGCCGTTCCTTCCTCATATGGAGCCTTTATGAGCTGATGGTAGAAGATTTCATAAGATCTACGATAAACATAGCCATCCATCAGAAGACTATCTAACTCACTGGTTAGCAGATTAGGGATTCCACACCCTTCTCCAGGAAAGTGGAC